AAAGCTAGAAGCGGCTCTTAGTAGCACGCCATTGCACTAGCGTCAAAAGCTGATTCGCGGACCGGCAGTGGATACTGCAGACAGGGTATGTAGTGGAAAGGATAGCAGGCAAGGTCCTTGGCGTATAGCAAGGAAGCCGAAGACCAGTCAGGCTCAGCTCCTGGCAAGAGCCAAAAACGGATCTTGCAGGCGGGAGGGAGAAAGCGTGGATGCACGCAAGACCCTTGTTGCGTGGCTGGGAAGACCTTACCCCGATATCCAAAAGTGGCTGGAGGCGCATAGTTCCAACAGCGGCGAATGCCAACTTCTGGATTTCGACTTTCCAATATAGTAGGTACATAGATGGAGCCAGACACGGACCACATCGGAAGGGTGTGTGTCGAGACAAGCAAAATCCTTGGTACAGGCTTGAGAATAGCCATCAAAAGCCAGAACCGGCTCCTGGCAACTGACACCTGGTTGCAGCTGTGGCGGGACGGCAGTGCCGAAATCCGAAACCGAGCCCCAAGTCACTACATGGCTGATCCGGGGGGGGGGCAGCAGCGCCAGAATTTGGGATTGCAGCTTGAAGAGCCGTATGTGAACGTTGCCTTGTAGAATGGTTCATGTTTCCCTCGAAGTACTGTATCAACCCGTTATGTAAGCACTCAAGTAAGCACTCTGACCCAGAGAAAGATGGCGCCAGCATCGGACAGAATGAAGACCCCTGGTTATCCTGGGGCAAGACTGCGCGGGCTAAATCTCCACTGCCCGGGCTGTGTATGACCGTGCCTCCAGCCTCGAAGCCGGTTTTGAGAAGGCCGACCATCGCTTGCACTGGGTTATCTTGAATATACCTAACCAGCGTAGCCTCTGTTTGTCCTGCTTGTGAAGATAAATAGCAATATTATTCTTTACTACTGTAACTAAGTGGTTTGCAGGATCAACCTGCCTCGTTGTCGATCTGTCGAGAGATGTTTCTTAGATCCAAGAGCAGAGCAGCCAGGTCGCCCATGTCTGACCTAAAAAGCAGTGTCAGATGGTATTTTTCTAATTTCTTCCGAAGACGTGCAGCTTCGCTGTTACATTTCAAGTTCGACCTCTCGGTTCACCGACGCACCGATCTCGCTGGTGTTTTGGTGGTAGGTGGTGTATGTATAGATATTTGTCCAACCCAACAAACCCTGCACTTCAAGTCCAAGGCCACTTGCACACCTGAAAAACGTTGTGCACAGCGCTCGCTACCGTTAGCAGTCACACAACGTTACGTCTCTGCACTGGCTCTACCTTTTGAAAAGATAGGTTCCCAGGCGGCACCACGTGGAGGTTGCAGAGTCCGATTTCGCCGCCCTCATCGTTGGAAAAACATCAACGGCATCGTTGGAAAAGCGTCAACGGGAAAGCAAAAACAACATCGCTAGGCGGCATCGTTGGAAAAGCATCAACGGCATCGTTGGAAAAACGTCAACGGGAAAGCAAAAACAACATCGCTAGGCGGCATCGTTGGAAAAGCATCAACGGCATCGTTGGAAAAGCATCAACGGGAAAGCAAAAACAACATCGCTAGGCGGCATCGTTGGAAAAGCATCAACGGGAAAGCAAAAACAACATCGCTAGGCGGCATCGTTGGAAAAACGTCAACGGGAAAGCAAAAACAACATCGCTAGGCGGCATCGTTGGAAAAGCATCAACGGCATCGCTACGGGCATCGTCGGAAAAGCGTCAACGGCATCTGAGCAGATGGAGGCCAGAGGCCCAGCCCAACAAGAAACTTCCTTAATCCAAGCCGGACAACATGACTCTATTTATACGTTTATCAAGCTCCTCTTTTTCCAGCCGCTTGCAAAAACATCAACAAGGAGAGGCTGATCGGTCCTTTGCAAAACCGACGTCACTAAGCCATTTTCAATCCTTGGGTAAACATTTGGCTCTAGATGGACCTGATCTAGACCAGGCGACGAGTTCGTGGGATGACCAGGGTGTCGGGGCTCGACTCGTTGGTTAGAAGTAGGAGACGAAATTGGCTCCTGCGGCCAGATCTGGCACTAACATCCTGCCGTTTAAGGTGGGCCATCCACATCCGCTTTTTTTTCGCCGACACACGTGCAGCTCTAACTGTTACTGCGACTGCGGGACTCTTGCGCCGTTTTCTGCTCTTCGATAACAGTATGAAGATGTTCTCGGGTAAGGGCGAGTTCTAACACTCGCAATCGAGATCGATTTCCGGCTCTCGATGTGGAACCCCCTTTCTTTTAAGCGCAGCCATTTGTGGCTGCTCTCGCTTAAATGATCTGTGAAGGTCAACTTGCACTGCATTCCCGCTGGAAACTAGAGCTGCCCCTTCGCACACACAGACACACACACAATTTATTACGCCCGGCAGCGAAGCCGAAAGGACTTTTAAAGCCGACTACATGTACATTGCTTAGCTTATGTGTCTGTCTCCTTGAAGCCCATACGTGATGTCTCCACTTCCTGCTTACTCCTCCACATCTGCCTTCTCACTGCGAATTCCCGTGGCTTCAGTTGTATTATTTGCATGCCATCTTGAAGTTACATACTTCTCCAAGCGTTCAACGTCCTATCTGCGGCGGCTTGAGCGGTGCGTGCTCTCTATGACACGGGTTGTTATGTAGTTGGGGTTATGTAGGGTTTGATGTGTTGGGAGGGGTTGACCTTCACTTCCGTCTCTCATCACCTCGCGTCCAGCCGGCCTGTTGCCAGCGCAAATCGAATCGCCGCTCGAACCGCTTGCATGTTTGGCGTCAATTTGTCGTCGTCCGATGGGCTTTTGCCTCCTAGGTAGAAAGATATGTTGCTTCTCTGTGTTTCTGTACATTCGAGCATCTCTCTACGGTGTGTCGTCCATTTTGTGCATCGGAAGAGAAAATGCTCAACCGTTTCAGCTGCCTGTCCGCATCCACAGATGTGCGAAGACGCTGCGTCGATCCGATGAAGATAATAGTTGAGTCTCGCCATTCCGGTTCTGAGTTGTGCAAGCGTGGTCGCTTCTTTCCAAGTAAGCTTGTCGTAAAGTTGGCGGGTATGCTTTCCTGGCAGCGGTTTGTCGACTCTTTTGGAGAATAGTCCGATCTTTTCCGGCAGCACTCTTCCTGGTGAGCACTTTGGTCGTGCTACGTTGAGCGTCGTTGACTTCGCCGTTGGAAAGCGTGCCTGCGGAGTGGCCCCCTCCTTGGTGGCTTCGTGCGCTTGAGCCTTTGCTTGCTTAAGCAGTTCGTCATCCTCGCTTGTGGCCGTCCATTGGACTGTTAGGGTGTTGCCGCCTCGACGCAGGCCTTCTACCGAGTCGTAGATGCACCGTATGAACTCTTGTCCGGACTGTTGGTGAGGTCGTCGAAGCGTAAGCACCGCCGCTTTGTTGTTTGTCACCACCGTAATCCTCTCGCTCGTGACGTCTAACAACGGCATCCACAGTGCGTATGCCATAGCTGCCAGTTGTCCGCTGTACGGTTTCTGCTCCGACCTCGGGCCTAACGTGAAGGAGAAAGTCTTGAGTTCGAGGTCGTCTCGCAGCCCCGACCGTTTCTCAACGACACCGCCGACACCTACCACTCCATTTCTTGCTGAGCTGCTGACCGCGACACGGACTGTGGTGGCTGTCCCGGCCCCCCTTGTCTCCTCCTCACCGACTTCAACTTTGAGTCTCTCTTCCCATGGCAACAGCGTAAGCAGGGTTGATGGTCTCGATTATTTCCATCGGCACATCCTTCAGAGCCTCCGCCACCTGGAAGAGAGGCGGAAGACATTACAGCATCAATCAAAATGGTAATAATAGTGGTGATAATAGGCAAAAGAGCATAGGGATAAGTGACGTATCGTTAAGTACCCCTTTGAATGCGGGGTAAGAAAGGGTAAAAGTGGGTGTTTTGTGGTCTTGGCGAAAGTGCTGTTCAGCCGCACCCGATGGGATACATCATGCGGCTGATTGTGCGAACATGCTATCCAACCAACATGAACGTATTCGATGCGTAGTGTCTTTCCAGGGCGCCTTCTACATGTTGACGCTGGCTTTCCAATTTTCTTCTTAAACGATTGCCCTGACGGTTGCTTTCTACCGTTTGCGCGCGGTCGAAGATAATCACGGTGCTCTAGTTGAAATGCTGCTTTCGTCACTATGACCTCGTCAGCGCTATTTCGCGTTGCTTAGACGTCACCTACCTGTCCTCGAACCTAGAAAGATAACATCACTGTCGTGTTTGTCGCTTGATGGCGACGCCGTCGTTGTCGTTGTTGATGTCCCAGCCATCGGCAGGCCGTCTGTGATGCATGGTGTTGTGCAACTGCGGAGATGCGCGTCCGCCACGGGCCTCCCTTTGCGCAACACTGGCCGAAGGAGCTTGGACCATCGTACGCCGTCTGTTCCTGCACCAATCAACGCGTGTGGGATAACAAGGTCGAGAAGGCTCAGCTTTCGACCGGACTTTGCCGTGTCGCTCGGGCCAATTTTGCCTCGCTGACGCGGAGCTGGACGGTCAGGTAGCATCTTCTCAACGTGGCGGAGTCCTACGCAACTGTGATTCTCCATTACTGGAATTTTGCTGTCGATACGGACACCGTCACACCTAAGGATTTTTGCTTGAAGTACGGGCTTGAGCCAGCCTGTACAGGTAGTGTATTCAATGACCAAGTATCCGCCCTGACGGATTCTGTATCACATACGTATTTTCTATCACACCTTCGTCTCAGGTTCACGTTCGTCATATACCGTCTCGTCCAACAGCGTAGTCAGTCAGCGACCTAACTCCGTAGTGTTCAAGACCAGCCCAAAAAACCGAAAACCGAAAACCAAAAACCAAAAACCAAAATAAAAATAAAAATAATTTACCGCCATGAGCAATGAAGCGCACCCATGCTACAGCAGTGTTGCTCACAAAAGGTGCCTCAAAAAGACGACGGCCCAACAGTCCGGACACTGAGCAACCTTTGTTCTTCGTGACGCTACCGATACCAGAACAGAGACGGCATCGGATGTCTTCGTCTCTTCTGCTAACGGCAAACCGCTACCGCCTGCATTTTGGTCGTTTACGGCTTGTCTCATCATCGTCATCGTCTCGACATCGTTTGGTACGATGGTCAGACGTACCGAAGCACTGCTCGAGCTTTTGGCTCCGCACCAGCTGCTGAACGGTAAATGGCGAGCCGCTGATGTTGCGACCCTCGTCGGGAGTCTCCCACAGGCAGACGGCCAGGGACTCCTGCAGACTGGCCACACGAAACCTCACTTCCAAAAAGAAATGGCCGTCTGGCCGGGTCATCGGGTACGACGCAAAGTCACATGCTACTTCATGGCCGCCGATACGGAAGTGAGCCTTGCTCCTGGCGAGTTGCGACACGAACTCTTTCAAGCTTTCAGAGCGGGCACCCAGCCGACAACGGATGTGTCCGCAGCACTCGTACCCTCCCTCAGAAAACAGATATGGTCGCGAAGCACGCAGCTCGAAGATAAACAGCTCTGCCCTTGCGCAAAGTGCCAACCGCTTCAATGCCGGCAGGCCTTCGAAAGTACATTCATCATCACATTCGGGATCGTCAAAGCTGGACAGGCTGTCCAACGGCGGTTCGGGGCCGTCGAATTCGACGTCAAAGCGGAAGAACTCACCCGATCGGCCAACCTTTTTGTGCGCCACGAGCCGCTGCCAGGCGTTCTTGTCACTGCGAAGGGTCCGAAAGGCCCGCGCCAGGCGGAAGGGGAAGTAGTCCCGCCATCCCCCGTTGGGCTCGCGCGCTAGCTGCTTTTCCTCCCGAGAGGAGCCTGTACCCGCCGAGGCCAGGAGGCTTGGGTCGGGGGTTTCGGGGAAAAGCGAAGCCACCTCTTGCAAAGCGATCGCGGAGGGGTTGTTGGCCACCAGGCCGCCGTCTTGGAACGTGCCGAGGCCGTCGATAGACCAAGGCGTGAAATAGCTGTACGACTCTGTTAGCAACAACTGATCGTGTAGCAATCAATCGACGGCGGCGCTGTAACGAGATAGCCGGTACTGACTACGGAGCGGCGGTTGCACATCGGATGCTGCAGGTCAGATCAGCCACGACACGAGCAAGATGCAGGCGTGATGTATGGACACCGAGTAAGCACGCACATCTCCCACAAAGATACCTGCCCGCCGCTGTCGCTTGTCGTCAACACCTTGTACTCTGTGAAGCCCATCAGCATCGGGTTGCGGTGTTGGATCGCGTCATCGGATCGCGTCAGCAGACCGTGTCAGCGGAATGGGAAGACTACCGTGATCTTCGCCCCGGTGGCCTACTCCGTTGTAGTTGGTGAAGATGCAGGCACTTGCGTCTTGCACAGTAGCGACCGTCATCCCGACCATGGCACCCATCGTGTCGGCGGCCGAGTAGTCGGCGATGCTTCTTTCCGAGCCGAACATGTCTCGCAATGCCTGCTCGATGTGTCGCGACGGATACCTGCTATCGAAAAGGAGCAAGGCTGCGGCACGAACAACTGTGGCGACAAAAGGAACCTGCATCATCAGTCGTACGAAAGAACCTATGATGGGAATGGACGGGACGCCGCGGGGCGTGAATGCCTGGTTTGATAGGGACTCGAAGCGGGCAATGCACTCGTCCACCGTCCAGCCGTTGATGCAGAGAGCACCGGCGCTGATTGCGCCTGCCACGAGGTGTCAGCTACGAAGTAAATCACACATGCAACGGCAACGTTCCACGACGAACCTGAGCTGGTCCCGAAGACGACGTCAAAGTTCTTCTGCACAGGGTGGCCCGGCAGGCCAATGTCGTCTTCGAGCTGCTTCAAAAACTTGAGCGGGTATTTTCCCCTCGTCCCGCCGCCGTCGATACACAGCACTCGGGGCGACGCGGTGTCCGGCTTCACTCGTATCTGCATGCCGACGTTATGTCCGCAAAGGAGACACTCGTCGACGTCGATCAGCCACGGATCGGCCGCACTCGCGACCCCAAAGATCTTGACGCAATCCATGCACTGGCCGTGGCCACACTCGGGGAAGAATTGCGGACGACGCCGTAGGCAATGAAAACACGTGCTGTCGGACCGAAGCCGTCTCCAGTCCTCCGCGAAGGCGGCGACGAGCTGTCGGTGGAGTGACGCCGCGGACTGGCCCATCGTTAGCTGCCGGAACATACGGGTCATCTGGGCCTCGATCATCTTGGAGAACTGAGACGGCAAGACGAAGTCGGTGGACCCTTCGTGCGCCAGAACGGCGGCGCCACACACGTTGTAGCACACGTCTTTGTAGAACATCTGGAAGACGTCTCGCGGATCAAAGACTGCGGGATGGTCAGTAACAGTCAGGGTTGGCCAAAGCCCGCGGGACGTACGGTGCATGCCCGGGGGGTAATGGTCCAGCAGGAAGCTGGAGGCGATGACAGGCACGGCGAATCGTTTCAACGCGTCGACGGAGTCGCAATGCATGAGAAACCGCGCGAGGTGTGCTTGTAGATCTGCCGCTACCGGGTTGTCCAGCCGAGAGAGGGCGAGAAAGTTGAGGGGCGGGGCGTCGGCATCACCGAGTTGCGCCGTGGCGTGGCGTAGGAGACCGGCGAGATGGGTGGCCGAGAAAAGGCAACTGGCGAGGACGCGCTCAACTCGTTTGGTCTCGGCCATATAGGAAAGCTCGTTGCTCAGTATGTCCCAACGCAGGGAATGGAGACGGCGTCGCAGAGACTTGGGAGACGTGTCGGCCAGGCTGATGACGCGGACGCCATGGAAACGTTCGGATGCATGGACGTTTGTCCTCTTGCGGACGGCCTGTAACAGCTGGTTGCGTGCGGAGCTCTCTTCGCCGCCGTTCGTGACGACGACCAGCCAGGGACGCACCGACGATGTAGACGGCGTTTCTAAGGTCAGCCACGACGCAAGCCGCTGTGCGACGACCTCTACACCGCCGACATCATCGGCAAAAAGGCAGACCACATCTGCAAAAGGGAAAAGCATGCGGTTGTAGACATGGTCACCCGATGCCACCGCTGTGGACGGGATGCTTGCGCTGTGCGCAGTCGATATTGACCTTGTTGCGAGTTCATGACAGAGCGTAGATTTCCTCGGCCTCCCGAGCCGTTTATGGGGGGGATGTCGGCGTCGGCAATCAGGGTGGGCCTCCCGCCGGACGCGCCGACCGGGGCCAGGGAAAGATGGATCTCACCGTGTCCCCGGGTTGTGTTGGGCGGGGTGATGTCTACTCCAAGTCTTTGCATAGCGACCCGCTTGGTCGCATTTCCTACCAACACGAGTGTACTTGGGTATTGGCTGTCCGGACGCGGCAGACTGTCCAGCAGTCTCTGGGCACGGTCTGAGCTTTCAATGACATAGGCCTGGTCTTTGGTCGACACGCGCAGCCAGCCGGTGTGTTTACAACGGGTCATTATGGCCATGGGGTTGCGGTCGCCTGTCTACTACAAAGGAGACGAGGCGACTGTCTTATAGTAGTATAAGGGCAATTCGGAAGCCAAAACGAGCTGTGGGTAGATGGATCCGAAGCCCGATGTTTTTGGGGAGATCCAAAACTGTCTTTGACCCCTTGGCCAGCACCATGAAGACACTTCCGGCCGGATAGTCTGGTCAAACCCAGGGCGGTTGACGGCTGTTCGCGGTTGCGCGGGTGCCTGCATTTAGGGTGTACGCCAGTCGGAACACCATGAGCAGCATCACTCTTGGCTGATGGTAGTCAAAGACAAAGTTGGGTCGGCCAGCCGATCACCGATCGTGTGTGACGCGGATGTGGAATGGTCCCCTTGCCAAACCTGACATGACATGGCGAATCTGATGCACTTTCAGAAGCGGTACAGCCATCGGTTTTTTATGTACTGTATTGTATATTGTTTTTTCCCTTTCTTTTTGGACAGATTCACTGTGTGCTTTTGATGACACAAGTCCGTACACAGTTCATGTTTCTCCTCACACGCCTTTCGACAGCGGTCCATCAATGCTGCAATACTATACTACATGACGCCAAGACGCAAGATATTCAACCATCCATCACGTTGCCCAATGAACGGACGTTTCCGAGTGAGGACTCGAACCTACACCGGCAGTCGCCAATGTAGGAGGAAACCTGGGAGTGCTGGCACGGAACTGCGACGTGCCGCTTATGTCTGTCCAGCCAAGCTGGTGTCGGCTACAGAAGCAGCTGCAGTATGGCCAGTTCACGTAGCGTCTGCTGTCCAGGTTCCAAGCCCATAGTGGATCGTGTGTATACTTCAAGTCGTCTTGCGTCGAAATGACCAGACTCGGCGTTGAATAAATGGAAGAGGGGTCGCCCTCGAGCTGGCTCTTCTCGGGAGACGTGGAATCATCGAGGCTCCAGGGGCTACTGTGGCCGTGGCGAACTTCGGACACGTTCTCCCGCGGAACGTCGCCCGATTCGGATGCACACGAGGACGTGGGTGATGCCACGCTGTTTCTCTCTGCAGGAAGCACCTTGACTTTTTTCCTGCGATTCGCTCGAGGTTTGCGCGTTGGCTGGCGCGCCGTCAAGCCCGCCCCTACAAGACGCCAATACGAGCCTCTCCCGTCCAGTCGTTGAAAGGCCTGTTTCGCACGAGTCAGCGGGGTGCGACTCCAGAACGCTGGTCTGGCAGACGTTGACAAACCTTGTTTAGGCTGAGGTTCGAGCGGACGCTGTTTTGCCATCCTTTGTTTCCCCTGTTGGCTCTACTGGTGTTTTTTTCAAACCAATCGTAGAGTTCGCTAAGCTCCATCTGCTGCGTCTCCCTGCTGAGAAGCGCCGTTTGGATGAGCTTTGCATATGTCATCTTCCGTCCGCTTTCGTCCATCTTGGTGTCGGTACTCGGCGATGATTCGCCGGCTGCCTTGGCCGGCTGTGGGGAGACCGGCTCCCCGCTAAAGGCGTGCTGCGGCATGCAAGTCTGTGCCGGCATGCAGCATGGATTGACTTGCTGGTCGGCATCTACATCGTGATGATGAGATAGGAGACGTGGTTGTTGAGGAAATATGGGGGGATTGAGATCAGAAGAAGCGGGTGGTGCGCGGGTGGGATCCATTGGATCAAACTGGTTTGCTGCGCTGGCACATGAATGCACGGTACTGTACTGTATGGAAAACAAAGTGTTCGCTAATAACACGCAAAGTCGTGGAAGCCGCATCGATTCTTCGGGGGCGTCCTTCTCCGACCGACGCTCTTATTTTCGGGCTGTCACCGTACCCATTGCACTACATAGTACCTGGGAACACACAATATGGAGTGGTCGGCGACAAGGTGTTCGACGCCGGAATGAAGATCCAAAAGTGGCTACAGCGTACGACAGTACCCAGGTTGAAAACCAGCTGCTGTTGGCGACACCCTCCTCCCGCTGAGGCCATCGCCGGGGTATCGAGAGCAACAGCCGAAAGTGGCGCAACAGGAGCCTGGGCCGCTGGGTGCTGGGTGCTGGGTGCTGGGTGCTGGTGCTGGGCATAGTACATAATACAGGGGGTATGTTCTGGCTCTTACGTAGCTAGGTGCAAAAACGTCTCTCACAATCAAGAATCTCGTGTCAAATAACAAGAACCGGAAACTGCTTACGTGAAGTGAAGCCTTAAAGGCCGAAACTGGATGTCTTCGTCTAGGGCGCAGCAGCAGCCGTTTGTGGCCTCATCTGGTTGTGGCACCCAGCATTGAGGAATCCTCAGCCAGGATTGTGCCCAAGCAGGCCTGCCTTCACCGAGCCGGACGGGCCCTTCCTACCTTCCCGGTCGACGATACTTTCACAACACCGCATGCGCTGGTAGGAACCCGAAAAGAGTGTTCTGGCTACTGTATGTAACGACCAGAAGCAACTCTTTGAGGCAGGTGACCATGCACGTAGTCACCAGGAAAAGCCGAGTGCACATTTGCGCACTAGGTAAAGAGGAGCATCGGAGAACGGCCAACCGCCTCAGGGAGCCATTGCCTTTTCTCGCCCCGCACTGCAGAGGAAATGTGGCTAAAAAAATCTATGTGATGGGATTTGTCGATCGCCACTCATTTCATCGCGTCGCATCCGATAAGTGCTCCTGATCTCAAGCGCCAACAAGATCAGCACCACGACGCCAAAAAAGCGCGAACCATCTCTGACAAGGTCTCTTTCTAGGCCTATTGACATATCTTCTCTGAGGTATTCACTTCCCGCTCTCTGGCCTGATTGCTGAACTTTTCATGCAACAGTCCCCCCATCTTTCGCCAAATTGATGCCAAAATCCATTTGGCGCAGCAGGCTGCAGAACTAGGCTCAACGTAGAGCGAAGTCATGTTCTCGACGTTGTTTAGCTGGTCATACTCCGCGAAACTCGCTCGCCGAGTGTATGTACACATGGCGTTAAGGCTCTCGATTGCGACGCAACATGGAGCACATTGTAGACCATGGAGAGGCCTCCCGGGAGAGTAGGCCATTGGCCATTTCTTCGCCATCGTAGACAGAAGACGGCTTTGCGAAGCCCTGCGTAAGAGACTGCAACGCCACTTGACGGGAATCGACGGCCGACGCCGCCGATGCTGCTTGCACCCAGTTTGCTGACCACACATTGACCGTCACATGCCATGTCAACCAAATGACACTGTAGTTGGTGAATAGTTACGTCACGTGTTGAAGCCTTTCAAGTGATGTGATCTCAGACAAGGAGGCCGGCATATCCAACCATTTTCGGGATATACCGCACAGGCTTAATGACATCCTCGCAAGGAAACCCCCTACATCCGTTATTCCTTGAAGGCTACGGTGTTCAGTTGCGCACCATGGCTCATCACGATGTCTTATGCAACCTTTTACTCTGTCACAGCTCTAGCGTCTCTGAGTCCCAAGTTTTCTATCTGCTTCATCCTCGTAGATGCTCTATCCTCGTCAATGACTGAGATCCAGTCGCCGCTGGTTGACGTCAACGACAGCTACAGTACGAATGAATGCTCGTCTTCATCCTAGTGAGTCGTAGCCTGGCTTCCCGATTCCGCAAGAGAGCTTTTCCGAGTTGATTCCAGCCCTGCTTCTCGAGCATGGTCGGCAATGGATGCTAGAATATCAACCACTTCCAGCTTCTGCAGGAACATAGCGTCCTCCTCCTCCTTGTACAAATCACCGTCATGCATAGGCATCACCGTACAAGAGACGACCAAGTCGTTACAGACGGCCGGGATGTCTTCAAACCCAACTCATCAAGAGAGAGAGGCTCGTCAGGCGTGGCTGTGATCACACACCATTCTGCTGACTCGTTGGTCTGCGGCATTCGCGGTCGCACCCGTTCGAATGATAATGGTATGGCAGTGACACCATCCGGTAGGGGCGCCACGACCACGCCATGCGCGTGCATAACTGCGGTAATTATGAGATTACGATCTCTAGAAAGACGCTCGAGAAAATGCATGGGCCTCGTTCCATCAAGCCGCAGAAAGAATTCCACAAAAGGGATCTGACGGATGTCAATCCACTCTTCGTCTTCGTCGGAGAAGCAAGAGCTTGCGGAGGCTGGCTGGCTGTTCGTCGTCAACATGCCATACTCATGGAGGTGGAGCAGCGCAGGCACCAGTTCCTCAGACTCTGGATCAAGGGGGCGAAGGTGATAAGGTGTGTGAACGTCTTGGATACCGGCTGCGCTTAGTTCGATAAACTCGGTATTCAAGTCGACTAAGGCATCCCAGTCTTTAGCCTTCTTCCATTTATCGATCCAGGTGGAATCTTCGAGCGTTTGTAGGTCCATCGGTCTCGGTATCAGGTGTAGTATGCTGAATGGGTGGCTGAACAAGTTGGGTAGATCTAGAACCAGTTCAAGGCAACAATGAAAGATCGATGATCGGTTTGGGATGTTGAAGCTGGAAGGGGATAGGGATGTTTCGGTGTGGAGGTACAAGCAACCGCTCAGGTGAGTTTCTCGACGGTATGGGCAGGCTCTTATATACGGTTTCGGGCGCAAAGAACCTCAAAATTGCAGCAAGCCATATTCAGCTGAGCCGGGAGTCATTACTATTGTTGCAGTAAGGGCTGGGTAGCTCACAACGCAACGGGAACGAGGGGAGTCGAGCGGGTCCATTGTGGCTTTTGGTTTACCGCTGATCCATCAGCCATTCTGGCTCCAGTCGGCCGTCCGAATGCTGCATATCCATGGTTGGTCCCGTAGACGAGCAAGGGCACTTTTCTCTTCAACCGCACAACTGCCGGTAAACTTTACTGTACATACTATGTATCTCGACTCGGAAGAAATCACCGTCTTGCTATCTCTAGTCGAACATAGACTGCGGCGTCCCAAGGTCTGACCCCTTTCCCCATGCGAGTACGACTGTGGCTCTTTCTTTAGCCCCTTGCCCTGCGGTCTTGTGCAAGGCCGCCTCACGTATACGGCAAAACGCGACCGTGAGTCCAGGAGCCGGTCATCCCGTCAAGGTTCTTGTGGTGGGTAGCGGCGCGGTCGCCCTGGCAGCCGCCGACACAGCCGAGCATATTGGCATGGACCATGGACACGATGGTCATCGAGCAAACCGATAAGATAGACGGGGCAACATCCTACAGTACTCTAGAGGCACTATATGGATTCTTCAGAGCTCAATATCTAAGGTCCAGTCTTGGTTACGACGACCCCGGTGATACTGTTCGTCAGTACTTGGACGACTCACTCGCAAGAAACGGCGGCGCTGGGCCGGAGTCGTCCCCTGTCCGAGTGCAGGTGTTTTTGGATCCCAGCCCACCCATAGCCATGTCTCGAACCTCACCCACTTCACTGTCAACGATGCCCAATGAGCACCTCTCTCACAATGACCACTTTTGGGCAATCTGTATTGCTGTATGTATGTACCCTTGCCCACACTCTATTCTCAAACAAGACTGCCGTTGCTCAGCCGAACGCACTCTGCAAAACTCCCTGACCAAGTGTACACAAAGCGTCTAAGCACTTGATTGCGACGCAGCGTGGAACACATATGTAGGAAATTGCGAGGCCTCCCGGGAGAGGAGGCCATGGGTCATTTCTCTCCCACCGTAGACAGACGACGGCTTCACGAAGCCCTGAATTAGAGAGGGCAACTCCACTTGACAGGAACAGACGATCGAAACCGCCTGTCCTGCTTGTACCAGGATGTTGACCCAACGCTGACCATCGCGGGCCAGATCAACCAAATTATGTTGTAGTTAGTGAACAGTTACGTTATGTTCTAAGGCCGTCCAAGCAATGTGATCTCAGACAACGAGGCCAGCATTTGACTATGTTCGGGATATAGCTGGCGTACCGCGCACCTTTAATGATATCCTGGCGGGGAAGCCCCCTACATCCGTTATTCTTAGAGCAACGACCTCCCATTGCGCATCATAACTCATCACGCTGCCTTGTCAAGTCTCTAAGTCTGTCACAACACGAGCATCTCCTAGTTTCAAGTTTTCCACCTACTTCGTCCTCGTCGATGATCTCCTCTGCCGGGACTTTGATGTCATGCATTATTCCTCGGCCCAGAGTAGGCAGGCGGTGGAAAGGGTGGCAGGTCCATGGCCATGTATGAGTGGCGGTCGACCTCCACCGTCGTCGTCACGAGAACACCCTCACCTATTTGCTGGGGCGCGGGGTCGCCGTCTTTTTGTATCTGCACACGGCATCGTCTCATTCTATCAAGAGACCAACTCCATATTTGTTTCGGACTCTCTTTGTGGAAAAAGCTTCCCGATGATGCGGGGCGACGTCGAGACGCGATGCTGACAAGTAGCAAACGCAGCGTGGGTAAGCTCGCACAGAGCATCGCCACGGACTGTTCGATGAATGACCATACCACGATATCGACATGGTCCCACGTCTCATCGAACGTGGTGCTATACTCCACCAGATATTTGATCCGGATGGCCGATGTCACGCAGGCGCTGCCGGCCGTGTCAGCCTTCTTCCGCTTCCCTTCTGCCACAAAGCGGTTATCCGACTCACAAGGAACCGACGCTGAACAGTGCAATAACTGCCAGGCGCCGCGGGAGGGAAATCTTCAGCTGCCAAACGTGGGGGATCGGCAGGAGTAAGATGGCGATATCTTCCGCCATGGCGAGCCCGCCGCTGCTGTATCCCACCGCCTGTAAGTTCAGACACTGACGGTCGGTGATGGTGCGGTCCCAGATCGATCGTACGGGTATGCATTGCACCGCAAATGGGATGGTGAAGAGCGTGCCGTGAAGCAGGAGGATGATCTCGATGGCCTGGGCGATCCTCCGGAAGGTTTGTGACGGGAAGATGCGGCGGAGGAAAAGAATGATCGACAGTTTTACGGCGGCTTGGAGGACAGTGTAGACCAAGTTTCCGACGTAAAGCATCTGACTCGGCGTTTAGTGTGAGGCACCACGATCAACCGGCGGGCCCGGGTTCCCGAACCTTGCGGATAACAATGCCATTCCCCACTGGTATCGTCCAATAGTGCATGCCGAAACCAATACGTGTAATGTGCATGTAGACTGCGGTCAGAGCGATGAGGAGGACCTGTTGGGTGACATCAGAAGAATTCGCCAAGGGGAGTTGGGCCCAATTACTGCCGCGAAGATAGTCATGTAGTCATCCCCCATAGGCCACCGGCGTACTTCATCCGCGTAAAAAGACGAAGCGCCACGACGAGGAACACGAGACTGCAGCTGATGACGAGCGTACGTCGGACTTCCTGCCTCCGCGATTCCTTGGGATACGCTTCGCATAGGACTCCCTCTACCGTCGCTGCAGCTTCGCCAAGGTAGTTAGTAGGATGGCACTGTGAATGGGGACGGCAGAGCCAACTTAGTTGATCGCCAAACGGACAGTGTGTTTGCACACATGCCGATAATTCCGCTTGAATGGCGATGTTAGAACAGATACAAGTCGTCACGTCTTCTGGGTCGCAGGCGGACATGAGGAATGTGCTGCTGATACATTCAGACTTGATGGATAACATATCAGCATGATGGAGACCTGGATAATGACGCAAAGACTCACAGCACATGACGGAACCTGCGAAAGAACCTCGATGGCCGACGTTGCCTTCACGATAGCAACGGCAAGCTGGAGAGCCAGGAGCACGGGAGCTAGCGACCGACGGGGCGTTGTTGAGGGCATACTGACAAGAAAGCGCGAGGATGCCGAGACGCATGGATGACGGCGATGCCATCGCGGTTTCAGCACTGACGGGAGCAGTATACCGTATATCGGGGAGCACACCTCGGCGTACTCCACACCATCATGACGGATGAGCTATATGAGGCGCTGGGAGAGATGTTTTTGGCGTCGACCGTTGCAGCCGAAACATGCTTCCTGTACTTTTCACGCAGGGAGGATGGCACGTAGTCGTGCGCGGGAAGAGCAGAGCCACTTATGGCGCCGGTGGCCAGCCTACCGACCGATGCCTCGTCTTGCGTATCCGCTCGTCCGTGACGAGTAAAATGACAACGGCCCGTTCTGTAGTTGATGTTCCGCAACTTGCAGCCGGGCTTGAAAGGCCTTGAAAGACAAGGCCCAGAATGCTCTCAGACTGTCTGCGAGCCCTCGTCAGCAACAGTTGTGTGCATCATCATACGCAGTCATCGGCAAGCAGACCATCGTAGCTTTTTGATACAGGTTGTTCTAGTGATGAACCCTTCAGCATGTCATGGTTGCGCTGGGGATTTCAGAGGGTTTAGTAAAGCCTGGCACAAGCTGGCTCACTTAAAAGGCGTAGACATCAAGCGAGGGATCTGGCATTTGTTTGGAAAGTAATGTTTTGTAGAGAACCAGCAACGCAAGCAAACGGCACACAACAACATCTCTCATGCTTTCAGAACTGACTGCTCGACTAGTCTACATCATCCTCATCGTCGTCCATGCTGGACTCCGAGCTTTCCTCTAACACATCTACGCCTCCGGCAAAGCTAGAATCGGCATCGGACGTGCTGACATACTCTTCATCGGATAAGTTCTCATCCATGCCGCACATCGAATGACCTGCCGACTCCAGCTCTCCGTCGCTGAGCGTGTCGAGAAACAACTCGGACGCGTCTGCGGTGTTCAGCTGAAAGACGGCTCTTGTCCGATGCATCGATGACTCGTGGGTGTCGGGGAACAAGATCCGTACGCAGCAGTACATGTAAAGCATCTTCCTCGACACTGAGTCGTCGCAGATGTGGAGAGTTGCGGGCAGCAGCCCCGGCTGGACAGCGTCTTCCGGCGCATGGATCTCCAATATCCGCGCGGAGAACATCAGAACCTGCTCCAGCACCTTGACAATGACAGGTATGTTGCCAAAGTCAAAGTTCAACACCTTATCAAACTCGAACAGGAGGTTAATTCTGTTGTCGGGTGGGCCATCGTCTGGTTGCTCGTGCGCGTCGCGGAGTTTCAGGCACGCCAGAAGCGCAGCCACCTTGACGACGAACTCTTTGCCTTGGAGCGGCCCACAGAGACAGCTTATGACATAGGCAACGAAGCGGTCTCCCGAGGTACTGTTGATGTCCTCTTTTACTTTGTCAAACGGCGGGTACCATGTGTCGTCGGTCAGTCCGGTATGGGGACAGTTGACGGCCAGGCAGATGGCAAGGCAGCACTGCTCATCTTGTCTAAGTAGGTTGGTCCTGATTTCATCAGCAGGCTATCCACCGAGATGGAACAATGATGTACGGCTTACCACATGGAGTCCATGATCTAGATGAGCACGTCTATGGCTGCTCAATCGTTTCTGTTCACGTCACGCCGATGGTGAAATTTATAGTGTCTGCAACATGGCTGCAGACTAGTTTCCAATTGGAGCGAAGCAAATTCTGCTCTTCGTACACGCAGACTCATGTTGATGGCCGATATCATACTGTATGCCTTAAAAACGAGTCTCCTGCCCAGTGGGATTTGCAGAAGCCATAATCGGCTAAGCAAATCATGACAATGGCAGTTTCTGCAATGGTCTTGAGAGTTTAGACGCGACTACTGTATGAAGTGAGATGTGGATGCGGAACTATTCGTGACGCATTCTATTCGCCGAGACTGGATCGCCTCTTGGGCTGTGGATGTCCGCGTTAAAAGAACGGCAATAACAGCAGCCTGATCCGCTTTGCCGCCGGTGTTTCGGCTTCGCATGAAGCTCTTCAGATCATCTTCTGGCTTTTTCTTCTTTCTTGAACCCAAAAATCACAAGTCCCTTGCAAATTCTATATAATACTCTTTTACGCCAGGTTTGGCATCTTGATGGCAGTGAAGTCCATCCGCAAAGCACAGTGGCATGGCAACCAGACCCTGAAACGCCCTCGCCAATCAACCAGTTGGCCGAGTCAACCGACCGACATAGACAACGAGGTCGTTGCTTTAGGCGGAACAACCCACGCAGTCGACCTCACAGACGTCGCTATACAATCTCAGAAAGCCCCGGTCAGCAGGGAAAAACGCCTGGAAGAACTTGTGAGAGACTCCGGCCGTCTCAGACAAGAACTTGACTACTGGAAAAGCGTCGCCCTGAAGGGGTCTACCTTCATAGCCAACGTCGACGAAGCTGTGGCGCAGCTTGCCGACATTGTCAGCAGATTTAGGAGTGTCATCGACGAGACAAACTCTCTGGTGGCGGAGAACAGTATGGCTCGTGGTAATCCTTTAGAGTCCGACCTGAACGGCGATGTGGGGAGAGAGACCGGCTGTAGACAAGACTTGCCGTTGACGAAAGCCGAGCTCGATGTACTCCTGGCTCCTGTCAGACGGGGTCGAGGGGGGTATGACTTTGAGGTTGTTGATTCGAAAGGGAGTCCGAAGCGGGCACCAAACAATCCTGGAGGCTGGTTCTAGAGCGAAGCATATGGTATTATGGAGATTATCATTCATCCGCTCCGTTATCTAGTATTGGGATTGATTCTTTACTTGTTCTGCTCCGGGCAAAATACCTGTTGTGTCAGAAAAAGGTTTTGGCCGACCTGAAAGTACTGTGCACTAGTTATGAGCAGAAGACGACCAAGCAGAAAGAAAGCCTGAAGACACCTAGTGTCTATGGATGGAGGTCCAAATGGTGTGATCTCGCCGCCGATTCCGAACGTGGCTGAAGTGTTTCGTGCTGAGCAGCAGCTAAAATCGGCTCTCCGATTTCTCAGTCACTTCGAAGTAAGGCTAGAAACAGGCGCGAAAAATCCATGCAGTATACAAGAAAGGCTAGGAGCCAATAGTCTGGCATTTGCTTTCGCCGCCATGATTGACTGCATTCGTCGCTTCTCCCTAGATGACTAAGTCTTTAGAGGAAGTTCTCGATTACGTTATGAACCTGGTTTTTGACAACAACAAATGGCACGATCCCATTTTCTTCGGGTCCGCCCCCAAGCGACTTGCCAATGGTGAAGACTGTCGAAAGCTTCACCTTGCAGCTGCTTCGATGGACTGAAGCGGGGATCTTCAGTGCAAGGCCAAAGTGGCCGAATCGCTGAAACGTCCGAGGTTCGTGAGTGAAGTCCTTTCGTGGATTCAGGCGTGGATTCAGGGCGCGGATTCACGGTTCACTTTAAAAATCCAAGGAAACGACGATAAAAGGGATGACTACACAAGGGTTCGATATTTATGTAGCCTGTTCAACCAGGAAGGCCATGAACTGACTACTTGTGTCCTCTACTACAACAAGGGCCCGGGGCATCTGGAGGAGTCTCATATTTCAGGCCACCAACTGCCGTGGGAAAAGACTTTAGTGTATTCTTCTGCAGTACTCGCTGTCCATACGTGACCCGAAGCCGCTCAAATGGGCGGCGAGGCAGGATGCGAGCATAGATTTCGAACCTCAATGTTGAGATGCACCTTCGCGGGACTGATTGGCATAAGTCTCCGCGAACAGGCGACCGACTACATATGACATGTTGCATTAGCAGTAAAATGGTACTTGAGGGTATCGCACGCGAATGGATGGTGTAGTAAGATGAAGCGCGACTTTATTCAGTCGTTCATTGATAGATGCTGATTACATGACTGCGCCTTGCCGAAGCTGAGAACCCGTATTCTTCGAAGCCATAAACAGCTCCAACCCCCTGCGGTTGCAACTAGGACCCAGAGCCCATTTGCCGCTTCGAGCTCGGCAACAAGCCATTCGGATTGAATGACTAAGAACCAACGTTTGGCCCTGTATCGCAATTTTATTGGCAAATTCATGAACCAGTGATGCGGGGGTGCCAAAAGCCAATTATAGCTCTTGGGAAGCGTGTTGTCAGCAATACAGCAGATACTTTGCGGGTTCTCGAATGTCTCTGGTCGCGAAGAGGATCCAGTAACGGCTGCGGTTAGAGGCATGTCGGCTCAAGTCACCAAAAGCCGTTTCGCATTAGGCTGGGTCGCACCGCACAGAAGTTGTCCCGTTCAATCGGCCTGCCGATCCACAAGTGGCTGCGATGAAGCAATACAGACATCAAGCCCCACAGCCGATTTCGAACCGACTGGACCTCAGGCGATGATTGGCGTGGTCTCGTGCGCAAGTCTCGATCGACCCCTGACCCTTGTACTCGTCTTCACGTTTACATGGCGGCGAAACATGCAGACTGTTCGTTGGCTGTCATCACCTCCCACTTCGCCAACTCGAATGCTTGTTGGAAAACCGGGCTTCTGCAGGCTAATGCCCAAGACCTCAAGCACCTCCATCATCGTTGCGACCAAGACTCGGCACCGCCTGCGCCAGCGGCGGCTGTGTAATATACCAAAGATCGCCAGATGTCCTACTTGATCAACCAATCTATATAACACGACAATCCCCTCAGTCACGTACTTCACGTACTGCTTCACTACAACCAAAGATTCAACGACGTACTCAGCGAACCCTCATAACGACAATGGCTTCTCGAATCTCAATACCAAACTTGCTGACGCCCGATCTGGCCATGCACACGGTCCTGGCCGAGGCTGAAGTTCGTACTGATAATGCCTATAGACCACAAACCTCGCCACAGCGAGACATCTCGTTGTCAACAAACGGCATATACTATCAAACAGACGTCCTGACGCCCGATCTGACCATGCACACGGTCCCGGCCGAGGCTGAAGTTCGTTCTGATAATGCGTCTAGACCACAAACCCCGCCACAGAAAGACACGTCGTTGTCAACAAACGATACGCGCCATCAAACAGACGTCGAGCCGTGCTCCGTCACGACGAGCCATGCCAAGGCGGTTCACTCATTACTATCGCCTGCAAAGCTGACTTCCTCTGGGGAACCCACTTTGAAGGATATGTTCTCGGTGCAAATGCTGCAACCTTCCACAATAACGTCTTCGAGTCTGGCTCTTCAACAACAGATGTTCGATGGTTACGGCAGTCTAGGCCCCCCTGACTACTCGGTTCAGATGTTACCTACTTGTTGTTGCAACTCATTCATCAAGTGAGAGAGAACCACACCCTTTCAGGAGTCAAAGAATCACTGCTAATCAGTTTAAGGTTTCCGTTTTTTGAATCCTTATGCGATCAGCAGCTCCTCGATATTTCCAGCCTGGGCAACTACGACCCGGCCTTTCTATCCCCCACCTGCAACTACTATGGTGGATGGCATTCTGATTATGCAAGCGGGGTATGTGATCCACTGGAAAACGGTGCGTCGAGTCGCTACTTCATGGAGAGTCCGCTCCCCGAAGCCTACTTGACTGGTGCGTGCCTGGGCAGTGTTGTCTCGGTCCATGATACGCCGGTCGAACTGATTCAACCGTGGACCTACGGCTTGGACGGTCAGCCTGTCCAGCACTAGATCTTTGTGCTTGAAAATGGCCTAGGATGTTGCTGGGGAGAAAGATGGAGTTAACACAGTTTCTCCGCCATTCTTTGCTGTCAGATAACCTCATTGGGCTCTTGAGAGGTTGTTTCCTTCTCCCTGCTCCGGTTTGATTGCGCACGGGCCAACACTGTAAATTGTAGCGACTGTTTTTTGGTTCCAGCGCGAGAGAGAATCGAAACCGGAGCCTTGTATGCACGAGCGTGTATGCACGAGCGTGTATGTACGAAAGCATTCCCTTTTGAGTAAGACAGAGTCCGTCCGTGTGGAATCGTATCCAAAAGACCGATCAACCATATTGATAACGTGAATACCAACGAAACAATTATTTCAAGGTCCAATCCGACTCGAATGGGTATGGTACTGTACACAATTACTTCGAAGACCCTTCCACCTATGCCGCGCCTGCAGCTGCATCTTCGTTCTTGGTGCAAAGTCCAGACCGCTCTAACATGATTGTGATCAAAGAACGACCGGCTGCCGTACCATCCAAATCCACACGACGGACAAACTGAAAATGTTCCACAACAGCCTCACTGGCTTCGATAGAGTCTTCCCACTCTGTCATTTCGTCCGCGTCGCCGATGGCGCATCCGTTGTAGTTGTAATCAGAAGCACTGTGTTTGATTTCTGCTCTTGCCGTTCTTGCTTGACGCCCTGGTTGACGTTTCTTGTTGTAAAACGCTACGCGCGCAGTCTGATGAGCCCCAGCGGAAGACTGACAATGCTCGTCGCTGTTGGTGATGTGGGGTCGAATTCGATTCGCCTGTCCGCCGGAGGAAAGCGCAGGGCGAAGTGTTCTGGCGAGACCAGGCATGGAGAGCGCTCTTTCGTGTCGCCAATCGCTAGTGGCATGTTTCCCTTCTGACGGTATTGCAGAACATCGAGGGCTTCCGGTGGGAGGTGACATGGAAGAAACCCAGTCGTTAATGACGTCGAAGGAAGTCGAAGACTGACACGACATTTCGATTGGCCGGTGACAAGTCGGAAGTGAGACTTCTGTTTTTGGACATTGTGTCACGTTCGAATACTAAATAGCCAATCCCCACGTGAAAGTTGGTGGTTACTGTGCTCCTGTTGAGCGCTCGCGACGAAGCCGTCGCTTGGTCGGCGGATCCCTGTACGCTCCAAAAGAGGCGCCTTGGTCTGGGGCGTGTATGACCGAAAGCTCTTTCTGGACGGTCCACATGCATGCCCCTGCCCAGCCGAGCCATATCAGCAAGCCCAGAACTGCAGTAGGCGATAGGCCATTTCGAAAGCTCGACCCAAGAGCGACTGTTGTCACACAAATATAGCGAGCAAATCTGTCCAAACTGGGTTGGCATATTTGCCGCTCGAACTCAGGCTCGCCTGGTGTAGGTCTGCATGTACCTCAGTCTTAGGACTGAGCTGGTCGGTCTTTTATCAAGCATAGAAACGGCACTCACAATACGACATTTACATTGGACGCATTGTTGAGTAGCCAGTCGTACCCGTCAAAATACTGGGGTCCAACTCACTGTTTTTATCACAGATACATACATCAAGCCATTGTGTACAGTAACAGTACGCTATTCTACCTATTTCGGTCTTATCCCGGTATGCTATGTCAGCACCAAACGCACTTTCGGTTCCAGTCCGTCTTTTTCATAGGTTTAGCCATGCAACAAGGTCTGAATCCTGTCACTAAAAGCTGCGGTAGTTGCGGCGAGGATATTTGGCGTTGTAATAGATAGATACCGGCGATGCTGAAGACAACAAGATTAAAGTCACTAGAGGGGCATGTTCAAACCAGGCCAGGGGTTGGAACATGAGAAATGTCATGCTTAGCATCATATTATGACGGGGGTATCCATAGCCTCAAATCACATCTCGAAAGCCGGGACCAAACCTCAATGATTTGTCTTTTCAGATTACTTAACAGCCAATAAGGCTCATGTATAAAGACTCTTGACTTTCACTACTAGCCAAACCTGCGATATAATGCCCACCTATCAAAACAGCAATCACCCAACTGAAATTCCTGAACATCGTGCTTGCAGCCCACGGGAGCCAGGCCAGCATCAGTAAGTAATTCACATGAGGC